GTGTTGACCCTCGTTCTTTGTAAAGTGGTACTGAAAAATTAATGAAAGGAAAAAAAATTCTTACATAATAGTATGTCGTGCTCTAATGCCTAATTATATAACATCAGGTCCACCTGCTTAGTCCTTGTTTCTGTCTTTAGCAGTCTGTAAAGTTTGCTGTCTTCGCTCGCTTATTTGCTTATCTTTATTAGGTTAACAGTCGGCGTCTGTGGCTTAGGCGTTGCCAACGCGCTTCGTAATGCCGGGTAGCCGGGTTCGTTTCCACTGCGCAAAATGTGTCTTGCGTTGGTTTCGACAGTAGTACCGAGAAGTTGCCGAAAGCAATGGCACGCTACCGAAGGTAAAATTGCCCACAGAAACCACGATAGCAAAAAAAAAAAAAAAAGACTGCCACGTCCTAAAACGGATACGCAAATAACTAACTATAGGTCTAGCCCTATATGCCCAGTACGCCTGAAGGCGTGGACAAGGGTCCTTTACTTTACTCTTTACTGTTCGCTAACGCGAATGTGTTGTTCTATGGCTTTGGTATTGAATAAATGGTAATAACAGTAGGACTGAAATTTACAATAGTGAAATGACAACTGTACTTTGTCCTACAACATCTGTTGAAATCAAATCTGCGTCGTAACACTAAGATCATACTATATACATCACTGATGACGAATATTGGAGGTCCACCAGACAGACAGACAGACAGACAGACAGACAGACAGACAGACAGACAGACAGACAGACAGACAGACAGACAGACAGACAGACAGACAGACTGACAGACAGACAGACTGACAGACAGACAGACAGACAGACAGACAGACAGACAGACAGACAGACAGACAGACAGACAGACAGACAGACAGTTATAACGCTGAAAAGACCAGTTGTCTTACATGAATCTAAAACCTGGGGCACATATAAAAAGAGCAGAAGCCTTATTACACAATTTTTTAAAACATTGTCTTTGACCTATCACACGGAGAAGGACCTAAAGAAGGAGAATTAACAATGACATTTGTAAAGGGAAGGTCTCTTTCCCACGCCTTTAGCCGTATTGAGAATATAGGACGAGACCTACATTTCTGTATACTAATCGGCACTTGGTGACGTGGTCAGCATCACACCGGCCGCTTTTACTTCCCACGACTGCACCTTGTACCCACTTAAGGCTGTGTCGACCTGAGAGTTTAGGTCGTTTAAAAAAAAGGTCCGGCTCTGTCAGGACTCGAACCCACTACTGTCAGATCTGTAGGCAGGCGTCTAATAGAGAGCATATACTAGGGGTTGGAATGTGTAGAGCACATAGCAAACAAAGAATACTGTAAATATCCCAGCAGACAGACCCACACTTGAATGTTTACTTTTGAATTTTGAATTAAGAATCGACATTAAAGAATTTGCGACACTCCCATTAGCGCGCGGTCCATATCTTCAACAGAAATCCGAAGAATTCCAATGCCTGTGGCTCCAGTAACTGTTTGATTGTATACCCGTCTCTCCTTTCCCTTGAGTGTTAAGCGTCGACCAGATCCTTCGGTAGCTCCTTCAGCTTTACTATAGACTGATTCTGAGCTATAAACTTTAGGATAAAAGGAGTAAATGTAATAACTGATTGGACTGAACAAGTTGATTTTAAAAAACATACATACCCCCCCCCCCCCCCCCCCTAAAAATAAAACCATTGTTTTTGTTCTTATAAACAAGAACGTCGGCTCTGTGGCTAAGTCGATGCGAACGCTTCGTAATGCCGGGATGCCGGGTTCGATCTGAGCGGCGGGCCATGCGCCTTGCGTTAGTTTCGACAGTGGTATTAGGAAAGCCGACCGTCCAGTAAGCAACAGACGTAAATTTGCTTACATAAACCACACAACAGCCAGGGGCTGTTGGGGATGGTTCTGCAACGTCCTGTAAAGGATACGCAACTAACCTATAAACAAGAACAAGACGCACCTGAAACGTGTCCCATACGAGTCCATCTGTTTGTGGGATAGCTACCACAGAATCGTCCTGTTTGATTCTGTGTAACAAGGGCTCCAGCCAGCCTGATGAGCAAAAATTTAGTTACGGTATTTGCCACGTGCAGGTTTCGGGTACCATTGTGGGGAAAGCAAGAATAGACCCACTGCCTCCCCAACTTGCACGTCGTAGGAGTCGACTAATTGGAGGCTTCCTTCGAAGGCGGAGTGCATCTGCCAGAGCGGAAAAGAACAAAAACCTGCACACACATAAGACAGATGTACACGCAAAGCTTAGGCCCAGGCACTGAGCCAACATTTAAATGGACGAACAACCAGTACTTTCCGCCGGAGCTTACAGCCGGTAAACAAAGACGAAGAAGAAGTTACAGTATTATATGGGTATGTATGGAATCATCACGTGGTTCTGGTGCCTTGCCCTGGTGGGATGGCTGTGTGCTCTAATGATCCTCAGAGCTATGCAGGACGGGGACGTGCTTCTGGCAGGCTCAGTCCTGTCGGACAGGTCTTGAGAAGGTATTGGTTCAAACGAGCACGCTGATCCTCTAGATAGAGTTGAATTGGGCAAGGGATTGATAACTCATTATTGTACAAAGATTGTTTTTATAGACACAGGATTATGTAAAACCATTTCAGACAAGCGGCGGCGGAGATCACTTGTGAATATCATATTTATCAAAACAAATGACATGGTCTCAGACAGAAAAACGAAACATACCGAACACATGGTGCAGTATTTCACGGGCAACGATTAATCTATCGACACAGCGACAGCCAATGGTTCTCACTAAATAACAATATTGTGAAGACACCAACACTGATCGTAGAGCCCTATAGCTGGGAGTCGAAGAGGTTGGACTCTGTTAAATACATTGGTATGCGATTTGATAGATGCCATTTAATGTGCATGTTGTTCACATTGTCATCAGAATCCTTGACAGAAACAGCAGATAACAGATTCCTGGCTTAGTGGATACTATTTCAAACACAAATTGATAAGAACAGATGTAGAAGATATTGTAGTATACACGGGTGGATCAGCCACCCGATGCAAGCCAAGGGTGTATGCACCCACTGTCGACGCAGATGGAAAACTATCAAGTAGACGAGTGCTGCCATTGCTATGACAACCAGCAGACTCACAATGAAGATCATGGCTGCAACACGGGCACTGGCATAGCTGGGTACTCAAGAATTCACTTTTGCATGCAAGTGAGCCATACCAATATTATTCCTAACAAAATCCAGACCGACAAGAGTGAGTTTTCAGACTAGCACCTGTGAAAGGTCACAGAGCATGAATGAAAGGCTAATCACAGTCTGTTTGGGGCGGAAAACGTAAGAGTTCCGTATCTTTTCTGGAAGATGCCTGTAGCTAGCATGACTATACTGTGATCCTTGAACTACTGTAGGCAACTTGAAACCAATGCTAAAAGCAATCTATCTGCTGCTCTCTTAGTTCCACATCATTGCCCCTCGCAAGGTTACATGCAAACCCTTCGGAGGCAGGGGAGTTAAATGCGGGAAATGTTAACACACATGAGGCACATTGAATACTCTTCCGGACAGGAAAGGGGGAGGGGGTGGTTGGCAGGGGAGGCTTTACCCTATTGTTCTTTAGACTTGCACACTCTACAAAGAAAGCTCAACATTGTACATAGATGCTTATAAAATCTAAAGGCAAGAGACATGTGATATTAAAGACAATACCACATTAACATGAGAGGAAAGAAAACAAATAGGGCAGACAGAAACGCTCGCCTGCGGATCAGAAGGTCGTGGGTTCGGGTCCTAACGGGGGCCGGACTTTTTCAAAAATAACCTTCGCTCCCTTGCCTACCCAGCCTTGAGTGGTCTGAGAAGCAAAGGCGGCGGGCGTGATGCTGACCACATCCCCCACCAAGTGCCATTTGGTCTATAACATTTAGGTCTAGCCCTGTATACTCAATACGCCTGAAGGCGTGGGAAAGGGTCCTTTTATAATCTGCACACAAAAAGAAAAGAAACTACACAACCTAGTTACAAATAGGGAATTTGCTTGGAAAATAGACGTGCAAATTATGATCACATACATATATGTACACACAGGTATTCAAAGATGAATACACACACACACACACACACACACACACACACATCTACCATTATATTGTAAATCGCGAATGTTAATTGTTGCTAGTCTCAAATCGTAAAGACCAATAGTCCTATATTTGTGGCATGGGCAGTACAAACACATACAAAACCACACTCGTACCAACGGCCACCCCCCCCCCCCCCCAATACACACACGTACACACACACACACAAACATATATATACAAACATTTATCTCTATACCTTTTGAAACTTCACAGTGGCCATCAAGGAAGACTGCAACTTCTCCAGTCACGTGTTGGAAACCAGTATTTCGTGCCACCATGAGACCTTTCCTTTCCGGCAGTCGAATTAATTTTACTTTCCCAGCAAAGATCTTAATGTAGGTCTCTAGAGGTTGCAGTAAAATGTCTGTTTAGAAAAAAACATAACATTGAATAAATATTTAATGGTAATAATGATAATAATAAAAGTAATAGCAATAATAAAGTAGGTATAGAATAAAACATTGAAACTGTTACAACCTGTCTGCAGCACTATCTTCGTCAGTACTTCTATCTTTTGCACTATCCTGCCTAAAGTGTCCCGTATGTCCTGAGTCCTTTTGTTCTGGTCAGCGTGTCTCTCTTGTGTGTAAATACCCTCTCCCCATCCCATTATTCTTCTTCTAAGATATTTCCTCATTTCACAGTCATTGTAAGCTGTTTAATATGTTAAATTCTAAAAGCGTTTTATTTATAGATTTTGCATGTATGGTTTATACACTAATATTCGAAGAACAACAACTATGGTAATTTACATCGGGAAAGAGCTACGAACTGCGACAATTTCAGTCAACGGAGAGTGATTGCAGATACTAGAACAGGTAACAAGTTTCTACTATCTTCAACATGATGTAACAAATGATGAAATAAGCTAAACATATTATATATA